GTGGTTGTCTGCGGGGTGTTCACCTGCGGTTGTCTTCGGGGCGTTCACCTGCCGTTGTCTGCCGGGCATTTACCTGCGGATGTCTGCGGGGCGTTCACCTGCGGTTGTCTGCGGGGCGTTCACCTAGGTTGTCTGCGGGGCGTTCACCTGCGGTTGTCTGCGGGGCGTTCACCTGCGGTTGTCTGCGGGGCGTTCACCTGCGGTTGTCTGCGGGGCGTTCACCTGCGGATGTCTGCGGGGCGTTCACCTGCGGTTGTCTGCGGGGCGTTCACCTAGGTTGTCTGCGGGGCGTTCACCTGCGGTTGTCTGCGGGGCGTTCACCTGCGGTTGTCTGTGGGGCGTTCACCTGCGGTTGTCTGCGGTACCATCATGCCGTCAGGGCCTGCATACCTTCCGTGGGGCAGTCGGTGCTTACTCTCGATGTTTTTTTTATTTTTTTATTTTGTTTTTTTAATCATTTTTCTATATTGATTTTAGAGAGAGGAAGGGAGAGGGAGAGAGATAAGAGATAGAGACATTGATGAGAGAGAACATCGATTAGCTGCCTCCTGCATGCCCCCTGCTGGGGATTGGGCCCACAGCCAGGCCGTGTGCCCTGCCCGGGAATCGAACCGGCGACCTCCTGGTGCATGGGTCGATGCGCACCGGCCAGGCACGCTCAATGTTTTACGCATATTACTTGATCTCTCTGGGTAGTCCGAGGGTTATTTCCACATCAAGACATTCCACTGGGAAGACGCAGATCGGATGACATTGCCCTGGGCCCAGCACCAGTCCAGAGTCCTAGGACCTGCCTGAGGGAGGGCAGGGCGGAGTCGGAACCGGAGGCAGGTGACCTGGGCCCAGGTGGGGCTTGTTGCTCCTCAGCCTCATGCGGCTCTGGGTGCCACTGCCACTGAAGGTCTCCCGGTGGACTTGCCTCCACCGCAGCGTAGGAGCATGGTGGGCGCGGAGCTGGGCCTGGCAGATGCTGGACGGGTCTCCCGGACACTGAAATTCCCAAGGCGCCTCCCTGAAGCCCGGCTCTGTGCTCCTCGCGCCTCCCGGGCCCTCCCTGCTCCCCCTGCTCCCTGCGTGTAGATCCTTCCATGTTTGTCTTGGTCTCCTACCCTCTCCCCCTTGGTGATCTCATCTCCTGCTTCAGCTGTCAACCTTTAACGGACGCATTAGTCATCACATGCCTCTCTTCTCAAGTGTCCTGTGCCCTGTTCTGTCTGCCAGGGTGATCGGTGCATTCGCTCATCGATGCTACATGCTCTGCATGTCTGCTGCAGGGCCGGCACAGGAGGAGCACAGGAAGCTGGACAGAGAGAGCCCAGTCATGACTGTTAGAAACTGTTCCTTTCTTCTTCAGCAACTTCTTACTGCACATCTGCTACCTGCCTGTCCTGGGGTAAGCCCTGGGCCGAGAAGGGACACATGGCATGAGGTCCCAACCCTCGGGGAACTGACATTCTACAGAGGGCTTGATTATATACTGGTCAGAAACAGGAATCAGAGAGGCTGAGCAGAGGACAAAGGGGCTGCATGGCTGTCACAGCCCGAGAGGGGCTTCCTGGAGGAGCCGGTACTTGGCTGGATCTTGGAGGTCAAGGGACATTCCAGGCAGGCGACAGGAGGTGGGGGCAGTAATTCAGCCGGAGTCTGAGGGCCTGTTTTAGCGGCCGTCTTATTGGGAAGAGCAGCACAGAGCGAGCTGCACCTGACAGCACCCAGGTCCCGGGGCTGATTCTCCACCAGCCCCTCAGAAGCATCTAGTCAGAGAACAGTGTGTCGGCTCCGCTCCCACCCAGCTCCGTCCCCGGCATCCACGGTCTCAGACGGGCTCCATAAACCCGGGGCCACCCGAGGAGCAGAGTGGGGATGAAAACTGTCCAGTCAGGGGCTGGGAGACTTAGACAGAGGACAGTGGCTCTAACTGTCCACAGGGCTGTCTTGGAGCAGGACCTGGAGGTTCAGAACCAGGACCAGTGGGCCAGATCTACAGGAGACAGACAGGCTGGACTTCAGGATCAATGTCCAGCTGTCTGGGGGCAATGAGCCCTCTGTCCCCAAGGCCAGGGTGACAGCACTTGGTGGAGATGCTGGGGGTGGAAGGAGGTTGAAATAGATGCCCCGAGTTCGGGGTCCTTGGACCGAGAGGGCCTTGGCTCATCATTCTGACCAGCTGGGTGGCCACAGAACCTTGAGGAACTTTCCTTTGCTGTCTAAATTAGGACCTGGCCTCGGGATTTAAAACAAGATGATCAATAATCATGACTGAGGTTAGGAGGCTGTTTTTCCTCTTTGCGGACCAGAAGCATCAGTTTGCCAGATTTCCTCCATCTGCAGCCTTTACGGTCAGCTGACGTTTGTCTGGACGCAGATATGCCCCACCCCCCTTCCCATCCAGAGCCTGAGGGACGGTCCACTAGTCCTGAGGTGGGAGGGATACTCCAGTGGGTTGAGGCAGGGGCCCCACTGCAGAGGGGACATGCCTGCTCCCATTCGCAGACGAGACTGGCATGAAGCGAGTCATCTGAAGTCACCGCAGACAGTGCTGGAGCTGAGACCCAGAGCAGACCTGGCAGCTCGGTCTGGTGGTCTCTGCACACACACCATGCTTCCTCCCCGTCTCTCCCTCACCGTCTCCGTCTCAGTGAGTGGCTGGAGGTGGGGAAGCCGAGTTCTTCTCACCATGGAAGACTGGACATTCTGCCGCCTCCCCACCAGCTACGCCCAGAACCAGCTCAGCGCTGGGGGCTGCTCTCAGGGGCTGAATCCTCGCTCCATCACCCTCAGGGGCTGGTCCTTCTGTCCCCAGGACAAGGGAGTAGGATCCTTGGTTATGCGAGGCCCTGGATCCCTCTGCCCCTACAGCTCTCCTTGGGGGAGGATCCAGGAGCATGGAGGCCACGGTCTTTCACCAAGTAGCATACATTCCCTGCTCTCTCTATGGCCTGTTCCCCCCAGTTAAAACCAGGACTTTGGGCTGGTCCCTGACCATCCTCTGTTTCTATAACATGGAGCTCCCTCTGCTCAGCCCCGCCCCTGTGGCTGTGCAGTGGTTCCAACCCCGGGCTGGGAGCAGAGGATGCTCCGAGGGGCCAGCAGGTCACAGGATAGGGTCTGGGGAGCAGAGCTACGGCAGGAGGGGTAGGGGCTGCCCCCTCCCAGTCTGGCCTCCAGGAAGTTGCATAACAGATGTTTATTTTTGGTGAGGTTGAGTGGGATTTCTTCTCTTTAAAAAAAAAAAACAACTCAAAATATAAAACTGATTTGTCTGCCAGGAAGATAAATATCTTTGCTGAAAGCCCTTGGCCCAGCTGCCAGCTGCAGTTTGCATGAAGCTGTCACTGAGGACCTGGCCGTCTGTGTGCCTGGGCTCACGTGGTGTCGTGCGTGATTGCTGTGGGCTGGCCCACCACCCTGGTGGCGTCAGCACTGGCAGTGACCCTCAGAAACGTCCTCCTGAAGCTGCTTCCAGGCTCACTGGCCTCCACCCGCTTCCCTTCAGAGCCTTAGAGAGGGAGGTGGGTGCGACAGAGGTGGAATGCCCCTGTCAGCTTCCCCAGCAGGAAGAGCAACCCCGGTGCACACAGAAAGCCTGCAGCGTCGGCCCCAGAACCAGGGCGGAGTCAGGAGACCTGCCGCCACCTGGACCTGTTCCTAGACGAGGAGACCGAGGGTCAGAGTGACACTCATGCTTGCGATGGTCAGTTTGTGTGTGTGAAAGGTCTTGTCAGATGCTCCTCACATGTGTCTCAGTAATCCATTACGTTATCTGACTCCACCAGAGCACAGACCAGGGACTGTGTCTGACAGGGGCTCGCACCCGTCTCCAGACACCAGCCCCACGCCCTTCCCACAGCGCCGCACACGCTCTGACTCCGGCGCTCCAGGGTCTGCGCCCTGGGAGGACTCCTCAGGGTCGGTCTCTGTTGGCAAACGCAGACCAGCCTGAGGTACTGACACCGGGGAAACTTACACAGCTGTTCCTGTGCGGAGTGCTCTACACGGTGACCCTGTAACCCTACGGCCACCCCGTGAGCATGCCTAGCCCAGGCCTCTTCATCCCCATGTCGGAGAGGAGGAAACGGAAGCACAAAGAGCTTAAGTGAACTGTCCGAAGCACACAGCAGGAGAGGGTCCCTGTGGGATTCATACCCTGGTGCCCACTGATGCCCGCTCTCCAACCCTGGGGCCACTGTGTCTGCCCAGGGTGCTAACGGGGCTATCTGGACGTGAACAAGCTACGTCCTGCCCCACCCTTCCACCCTGGCCTCTGCCCCCTCGTCCTTGACCGGCATGGTCCTTTCCAGCTCTGAGCCTCTAAGAACCAGTGGGCGGGGCCCCGTTCTGACGGACAGCGGGGCCTGTGGGCCTGGGCCTCCAGCTCTGTGTAAATCTACCGGGGCCCATGTGGAGGGGCCGGTCACCGCTTGGCCAGTCGGTGAGACCAGTGCGGAGGGCAAGGGGATATGGATTTCTGGAGAAGAATCTCCACAAGTCCTACTGAACCCCAAAAAGGACCAGGTCAGGAAAGGAGGGGCATTTCCGCCTGCCTCAATTCTGGCCTCTCCTCCTCATCCCAAGCTCAGTTGGGCCAGAAATGACTGCTGAATGAGTTTTCCCTTCCACCCCGGGGAGCCCCAGGCAGTGAATCAGCATCCTCCACGCCCAAAGGAGAAGTTCTGGCAAAGGGGCCCTTCTAGGAGAAGACTGAGGTCAGTAGGGTGGGAATTAAAGGTCATAGAGGTCATATTGACTGACCCAGAGTCACTAACACTGATGCTGTAAGGGGACCATTTTGAGATGATGGTAAAGAGGCTCAGAGAGGGAAAGGATTTGCCCAAGTTCACAGAGCGTGGTAATGGTAAGCTAAGATTAGAACTCAGGTCTTCTGACCTCATATCCAGTGCACCTCTGAGAGAGACAAGGCAGGGGATGGCACCCCATTCCTCCCTCCTCTCTTGCTTGATTCAGCCATTGGTTTCTGACCTTGTTTCTTTCCCCCTCAGCCAAAGAGAGCTCCCTGAGTGAGCCAGAGTTACCACCTGACTCTGACACCGTGGGGATGGACAGCAGCTACCTCGGGGTGAAGGAGGCTGGGGTGAAGGGGCCCCAGGACCGGGCCAGCGCCGACCTCCCCAGCCCACTGGAGAAGGCCGACTCAGAGAGCAACAAGGGCAAGAAGCGGCGGAACCGAACCACCTTCACCAGCTACCAGCTGGAGGAGCTGGAGAAGGTCTTCCAGAAGACCCACTACCCCGACGTGTATGCACGGGAGCAGCTGGCCATGAGGACGGACCTCACCGAGGCCCGTGTGCAGGTCAGTTAGGGTGGGGTGGCGAGCAGGGCTCCCTTGAGCTGGTGACTGGAGCTGAGACTGCCTGACCATCCCTCAATGACATTCTCTGCACCTCAGTCCAAGGAGAGCCCCAGAAGTCTGCCTTTATCCACTTTAGTGTTGGGCTTCTTGCTCTGTTTGGAGCAGGATTGAAAGAAGCAGGGCCCTGCAGAGGGGCCGGAAGCCTGTAGCTGTATTTCTGCGCTCTGAGTGGTGTGAAAGTCTAGGCCGTTTCATGAGGAGGAGATGACTGGTCTCTGCTCTTGAAGGCCGACCTCTTAGAAAGGAAACAGGGAGAAACTTAAAGACATCCACAGCCGCCCAAAGGGCTGAGACAGAGAACAACCCAGCCCTTCCTTCTGCCCAGGACGGCCACCTGCTCCTCCATCTTTCAGGTCTCAACTCGATATACCTCCTTTGAGAAGTCTTCCTGACCGTCATGGTGAAAGCCATAGCCCCCTACCACCACCCAATCACACAACACAACACAGCGAAATCCAGCACAGCTCAATTCAGTACAACCCAGCTCAACCCAAACCAACACAACCCAAAACCACCCAATACAACTCAACCCAACCCAACTCTACACAACCCAACACAACCCAATTCAACTCAACACAACACAACAAAATCCAGCACAGCTCAAACCAATATTACCCACCTCAACCCAAATCAACACAACCCAAAACCACCCAACAGAACTCAACCCAACCCAACTCTACCCAAACCAACACAACCCAATTCAACTCAACACAACAAAATCCAGCACAGCTCAATCCAGTATTATCCACCTCAACCCAAACCAACACAACACAACTCAACACAATGCAACCCAACAAAATTCAACCCAACCCAGCTCAACCCAAACCAACATAACCCAAAACGACCCAACACAACTCAACCCAACCCAATTCAACTCAACACAACACAACACAACTCAACACACCAAAGCCCATCACAGCTCAATCCAATATTACCCACCTCAACCCAAACCAACACAACCCAACCCAACACAGTACCACACAAGCAAACCATGTTACCTACTACCTCATTATCCTATTTTCTTTGTAGAAATGACTGGCTTAAATTATTTTATCTGTTTATCTCCTCCCACTAAAATACGAGTCCCTGAGGGCAGGTACTGTCTGATAGTTTGTCACTGTATTCCTACCAACTAGAGAAGGCCAAAATCAGAGCAACAAAGACAAAAAAATAATAATTCATGGACCGATTGACCTTTTTGTCCAGAGAGGGTGTCCCTGCCTCTCTGCATGAAATTATAGCAAAGACAGAACCAAACGGGAAGCCAAGACCTCTGAGCACCCCAAAGCAGGTGACAGAACCTCTGCACCAAAGCCTCGACTTCAGCTTAGCACAAACTCGACGCCATGCTCAGCCTGCCTGTCTACCCCAGAGCATGTTAGAAATAGCAAATGAGGTGTTGTCAAATCGCAGCTTTCCCCACTCCAGTGTGCTAGGGAAATCAACAGCTTGAGGAGAAGGGAAATTTTTAAAATATGTTTTCTAACTGATATTTTTAGAGAGAGAGAGAAACATTACTGGGAATCGAACCGGGACCTCTCAGTCCACGGGATGATGCTCAATCCACTGAGCCACACCAGGCGGGTTTTTTTTTTGTTTTTTTTTTTAAAGCAGCACAGCTCAGCTCAGCTCAGCTTAGTTCAGCGCAGAGGGACTCCCAGTGCCCGGACAAAGAGCCCTTCCTTAGCAGACCCCAAGGGTGCCTCCTGTTGCATTAGTTCACTCAGAATCTCAGGCAGAGGTTTTCTGCGGCAGTAAAAGGTTCGTCAGTCTCCACCATGTGGGGAGGCATTTGTGGTTTAGGCCAGAATGATGTTTATGTACAAGGGTGAATGGAGAAAAGGGCGGGCAGTCACCTGCACACACGTAGCCACCCAGACGTGCTTCATTCCGCCCGGAAGTGATTCTGAAGGGTGGGATTGTGGAAGCCTCGGTTCCTGAGCGCAGGCTGGCTGTTGGGTGGCTGGGCATCCAGGGGCTGTGTGGGGAAGGAGGGCAGGGCGCTGGGGCTTTCCTGGGATTCCAGGAGCCCTCTCGCACCCACTCTCTCCTTCGAGTGGGGAAAACCAGCCACGAGACCTCAGCTGCCCAGAGTCTGGCCTTAGCTCAGCCAGAGGACTGGGAGTAGGTGCCGACAGGCTCAGCCTGGTGTGGGATGTTCTGTAGGTGCTGTGTCGGTGTGGGATAAACCGGTTCATTTTCTGTGCAGGATGTGTACGCCTGCGTGTGTGCATGTGCGTGTGCCTAGCAAGTGGACGGGAGTGCCCAGGCGTAGAACTCACTTAGTATTGAAAGAAGGATGGCTTGTCCAGGACACAACATGGAAATGACACTGGGCACGTCTAGCATTTTTCAGTCACCACCGTCCAGCTGAAAGAGAGTTCCCTCTGCGCACACACACACGCGCGCGCACACACACGTGTGCCTGCCTCCAAAAAGTTGAGGCAGCTTATAATTAAAGACTTACTATGTTATCTAGGAACAAGAATGATTTTACAAAATGGGAAAGTAATTGTGTCAAAAATCTAGGCGGGCTTAGCATCCTAGTTGCCGCTGAGCAGATTTCACTTCTGACCTTCCCAGCAGCCAACGCAGAAAGAGAAACGCTAACGGATTGCAGGTTTTATCACCTACGGGGGAGACCACAGAATTGCAGGATATTCGTGCTGGGAAGCATCGCTTGGTCCCTGGATGACAAGGAAGAAGAGTCTGGGGCGGGGCGGAGTGACTGTGATCGGGAGGCGGAGGGGCCTCCGTGGCAGGGCTGGGACTAGGACCCGAGGCTCCGAGTTCCACCCCTGGCGTCCCTCACTTCAGTTAGCTGTACGGGACACGTGACAGATTGTTCCGAGACTTCTTTGTGTGAAGGCAGCAGAGTGGGTGGGATGTGCATGTGCGTCAGACCTCTGGGCTGAGCCCGGAGCCTGGCAGTGCCCCGAGGGGCGGAGGGAGTGGCCATGGAACCCCTTGCTGGCCTCCGCTCCATGAGTCTGGGGCCCAGAACCAGCTGGTGGGAAGCCAGGTGCCGGGTGTAGAGTGGCGGTGGGGACAGGAGGCGGTGATGGGGGCCCCTGAGATGGACCTATCCTGGGAAGGAGCCCGGGGTTTGGCCCTGCTCCAGGGGGCTGCAGGGGCCTCTCTCGGCTGTCTGGGATTCCGATCTCCACAGCTGGTGTCTGAAGACAATGAGACAGAGGCTTCCCCACCCTGGGCCACCCCGCCCGGGCCCCAGATGGGCTGCGGTGAGCAAGCCCTCTGCCAGGACGGTTGGTTCCTTGGGGAGAGGCTGTGCTGAGTGGGCCCATGCCGGGGTGGGCCTGGGAACGGGGTGGTCCTGGGGTGAGCCACGCAGCAGGGAAGGCGGGGACCTTGCGGTCTGCTCCGCTCCCTGGGGCTGCGCAGTGGAGACAGGCCTGGGGCGCAGACTCCGGGCGGGGCGAGGGTTCGGGGAGAGCTCCCAGAGCACCAGGCTCCGGGGCTCAGAATGGAAGGACACGCAGAGCTTCAGAACCCATGAATGTCAGCACGGGAGGAGCCTGTGAGGGGACCCCTGCCACCACCCCATTTATGTGCGAGGAGATTGAAGACCAGAGATGCTAACTCAGCTCAAGCCCCGATCTGGGCAAGAAGGCTCCAGCCTTGTGCACAGGGTAAGGCCCAGGGAGAACGGGCAGGAGCGGGCAGGTCTGCGGCCTCCGTCTGCTTCCCACAGCCGGCCACCCCCACAGTCTCCATCTTTAGTCCTCAGAGAAAGCCCTCAGCCTGACCCCAGCCCACCCCCCCGAGGACGGTGCTCTCTGCTGCCTCTCCCTCGGCTGCTCATCTATCTTTTTAGATAACCAGGTCTCCCCTCTCCCGGCCTCCTCCTCCCCCGCATGAAGCTCCAGCCCCCCCACACACATTCCATCTCCCCCCACTCTGCTCCTCCCCTCAATTCCAGGCTCCTTTAGGGACACTGGCCTCCCCTCTCCTCGCTGTGTCCCTCCCAGCCCATCCAAACCTGCCTGGGGCCCTCATAGCACCTCTGCACCTCTGCGTCCCACCCGAGTCCACAGACACGGAAACCCCCACAGTGGTGGCACTGAACCTCCTCTTGCTTCTCCCCACCCCCAAAGAAAGAATGAAGCCATATATCTCGATGCCTCCAGTGGGCTTCGCCCCTCCCCCCGACCCCCCCCCCCCCCGAAAACCCTGGGAGGTGGAGGAAGGAGCGGAAAGACCGAGCTAAGCCTGCAGGAAATTAAACATGAAATGAAAACAAGCTCCTCTGATGCATTCTCTCATCCTGCCCCCAGTCCCCCATTCCAGGCCGCTGATAAAGGGGGATCCCATTTCAGCCGCGCAGAGAGGAGACCTGACCCGCCCTTGGCTCCCAGCAGGCTCTGGGGCAGGGCTGAGACCCCAAGCCCAGGAGAGGGCGGTCTCCAGGGAGGACACAGGAAGAATGCTTCTCCTGCACTAGAGTCAAAAGCGGGAAGTGGAGTGACAGAAACGTCCACAGGCCCGTGTGTGTGCGCGCGCGTGTGCGCGCGCATGTGTGAGCACATGTGTGTGTATATACGCATGTGTGTGTGCACTTGTGTGTGCACTTGTGCACATGCATACTGGGGGGGAAGTGAGGTGCAGCCCCACACTCCCTCCCCACACTCACATGAGATACATGGACTCCATCTCCTTGGACCCTTTGACACTAAGAAAGGCCGGGAGCTATAAATAAACAAGCATGAAGTACTCTAAAAACGGACACAAGTTCCCATCTGTCTCACCTGCTGCTTTCTGAAGCATCACCCCTGTGAGGATGTCTACACAGACACCGGCCCATTTCCCAGATGCAGGAACTGAGGCTGTTGGCAGTGCCAGCGCTCCAGTGGGCACTCTTCCCCGGCCACACTTGGAGCCGGTACGGGCTGTGCACCTGCCGTCCCTCGGCCTGTCGGGGTCGGTGCGATGCAGTGAAGCTACAAGCACACGCTGCTTGGAGCGAGGGGGAGCTTTGCAAGGTAGCAAATGCTCCAGCTCTCTGGACGCAGTCCCATTTATTTGCAGATTGGTACCCCCAGGTCACAAGTGGATTTAAGTAAATTATTTCTTTGAAATGGCATTACTGCAAACATACACCCTAGCTTTGTCTCTTGCTTTTTACAGGAAGAGACCTTGACGCCAAAAGATAACAAACCCTTATTCACATGCAAATGAAGCACCCAACACACCTGGGTGGGCCAGGTTCCCCCCCTTAGGATTCAGAGAATGCATTAAGGTTGAGAGCGCCTAACACAAGGTTAAAAAACATCCATCTTCCAACCCCCCAACCCCACATGCACCTGTGCGCTGCCCCGTGGGGGCTGGTCCACACCTGGGCCGGGCTCTGCTCCCTCCTCTGAGGAAGCCGGGCCTCTCAGCGGAGAGCTGCTTCTGCAGAGGGCTCCTCTCTACCTAGTTCTGCAGCAGCACCGGTCACAGGACGGGAGTGTTTGTGCCCCCGGCAGGGACCGGGCCTGCGGAAAGCTGGCTTCCTCGGTGCTGGTGCTGGTGCTGGTGCTGGTGCCCGCCTGGTGGAGCCTGCGAGGCTCCTTGAAGCCGCGGGCCCTGTCGCTGTCTCCTCAGGTCCACAGGCTGCAGGCACGGTGCTCCCTGGGGTGCGCACTTGCACCCGGTCAGCTGGTGGCTCCATCTGGGGAGCTCCGAGCTCTGCCTCTGACAACCCCAGGCCCCTCTCCCATGGATGATTCCAAGTCAGGGCAGGGCTGCAGCCCCGAGGTGAGCCGTTGCCCATCAGCCTGGGGAAAGTTCTCAGCCTGCCAGAAATGCTCCCGCAAAGGAAACGGATCCCCACCCACCCACCCAAGATCCCAGCTTCACCTGCCTCGGAGACCACCCTCCCTGTGAGGTGCCCCGGCAAGCCTACGTCCCACCCACCCGTGCTCAGCCACAAGGGCCCTCCGGCCCTCCTGGACATCAGGCCCCTCTTCTGAGTGAGAGCTGGCAGCACCGAGGGCAACCCCTCCACGTGGCATCAGAGCCCTGCAGTCTGACTCCTGCTGCCTCTCTCCCACCGCGGCCCCCAGCTGGGCGGTGTGCCCTGGTGTTTCTAAACTGACGCCTCCCCAGCCACCGAGAGGCCCCCTCCACCCTCCCCTCCGAGAAGCTGTCCCCAACTGTCTCTGTCGCCCAGCTGAGCCCCTGGTGTGCACAGGACTTTAACACATGGTCTCTGAGCTGGGACAGTTTCCCAAGGAACGCTGCCGGAGGTTCGGGAGGGCAGGGGCTCTGGCCCGTGGGCCCCCGGGAGCCACGGACCTGTGGAACCCGTGCGTGCAGTAGAACAGCTTTATCGGGTTCTCCACCGGAGTCTGTGGCCCGCGGCACGTTAGGCCACACCTCCCATACATGCTAAGTGACCAGGGACATGTTTCATGTGTGTGACACTTGCTGGCTCTAGATTCTGAAGCTTAGCAAAAGCGAAGTTCCTGGCCAGGGTCCCGCCTGGGGTGGTTGGGGTGCGCTGCCTTCCCGACCCAGCCTCCATCAGTCTGGATGGTGAGCTCTCAGGGGTCAGCCCTGACGGGAGCCCCGTGGCCCTCAGGCTCAAGGGAGCGGCTGCACCGCCTGGGGCAGGGCCTCCCGACCCCTCGACAACTCCTTTGCCCTGCAGGTCTGGTTCCAGAACCGGAGGGCCAAGTGGAGGAAGAGGGAGCGTTTTGGGCAGATGCAGCAGGTTCGAACCCACTTCTCCACGGCCTACGAGCTGCCCCTCCTCACTCGAGCTGAGAACTACGCCCAGGTACGTCCCTGCCCCTCGAACTCAGAGGTCCTGTGAGATGGGGCTCGTGGCTTCCAGTTCCCTCAGGCCGTAAGCTGGGGGCCTCTTTCCACGGGGTGTGGAGGCCCACAGGGGTGCTGCCAAGCTCGGCTGAGTCCCCAGGCCCAACTCCCCATAAAGGCTCAGAGGGAAGTGGGGTCAGGGGGGGAAGCTGGGGAGAGGAGAGGGAGCCCAGCGGGGAGACCAGCCGTCCAGCCCAGCCCACTGCTGCCTGGCTCCCTCCACTCCCAGGGGCGTGTGGGCCTCCCGCTGGCTCCACCCACGTGCCATGCCCACCACTTCCGGAGGCAGCCCCTCAGTCCTGAGCAGGTGCAAAGCCTTGGGTGGTGGCTTCAAGATCCTCAGCCACTGGCTCTGGCAGATTTGGGTCCCACTGCCCACTCCCACCCCCTCCACACCACACCTACAAGCCCAGAGCCCCTGTTCCCAAGGCCAAAGCCCCCACTCCTGGGGACCTGGGCGGCCCTGGGCCCGGGGAGGAGCCCGAGGGAGGGTTCGTGGCTGATCTTGAGGAGCTCAGGGGCCCAGGGACAGTCTGTAGCTGTGTCTGAAATCAGGAGGTCAGCGGCTGGGGCAGGGGCCGTCCTCAGCAGGTGAGTTTTTGGCCCCAGACCCTTCACTGGACCCTTGACGAAGTTTGAAGTTCAGTCTGAAACAGCATTTCTGTTTCTGCTAGCCTGGCCCTGGGGACACGTAGCCAGAGCATAAAACCCAGGCTCTCCTGGGGCATCTGGGTGACCTTCACGTTTAGGGTGGCTCCCAGGAGAACGTTTTCATCACAACAGTGGGCTCCTAACTGGGGAGAGGTCATTCATGGGGTGGGGAAGCCCCTGTGTACCCCCCCATCTCAGCCAGCCTGTGACATCTCTCCCCTCCACCTCCCAGATTCAGAACCCGTCCTGGATCGGCAACAATGGGGCCGCCTCACCGGTGCCAGCCTGCGTGGTCCCCTGTGACCCGGTGCCAGCCTGCATGTCCCCTCACGCCCATCCCCCTGGCTCTGGGGCCAGTGGCGTCACCGACTTCCTGAGTGTGTCCGGGGCCGGCAGCCACGTGGGCCAGACGCACATGGGTGGCCTATTTGGAGCGGCGGGCCTCAGCCCCGGCCTCAACGGCTACGAGCTCAACGGGGAGCCAGACCGCAAGACCTCGAGCATCGCGGCCCTGCGCATGAAGGCCAAGGAGCACAGCGCGGCCATCTCCTGGGCCACATGACAGGGCCCCCCCCCCCCCGTCCCTCCCCCACCTCGGGGCACTGGCCACGCCCACGCTTTCCTGGCCCCCAGCCTCCCACTCGACTTTCCTCTTAGGAACCTGGCCTGGGCCGGGGACCTGACCCTCAGCACTTTCAGCCACCCCAAGTCTGAGGCCGCGTGGACTGCTGGGAGGGAGGGGACAGCAGGCCCCTGCCCCCCGGCACCGAGGCCGAGACCCCTGCTCCTGGCCAGAGGCAGTGGAGGAAGTGGTGGCCGAGTTTGCGGCTTTGCATCCATTACAAGCTGAAGACCCCTCTCCCCGCTCCTGCTCCTCCATCCTGCCCAGTCTGACCATTGAGTCCAGTTTAAATTCCCATCGAGACCCAGCAACAGCAACTGTGTCATCACGTCCGTCCTTCCTTCTTCTGTGTGGTCCCTGGTCACCGGCCCGTGACTGTGTCTGAAGAACAGTCCTCCCGTCTCCTTTCCTCTTCCCCAAACCCCACGGAATCTGGCCTCCTGGACCCAAGTCACCTGCCTCACCTTCACCCCTATGCTGGACACACCCAGAGCGAGTGGGCAGAGGAGGGGGAGCTGGAGCCAAAGAATCCAGCTGTCACCCCGCAATGCTGACATGCCCAGGCCCTCACACCCCAAAACTCTGGATCCGGGTGAACACCACAGGGAAAGATGCAGACCCCCATGGTACCTGTGTGCCGGAGGAAGGAGGTCCAGAGAGAAAGGGCTGCAGGGAGGTGTCCGGGTGGGGGCAGGGCTTGTGCACACGGTCCTCTCTGGCCACCTAACATCCCACTTCGGGCAGGATGACAGCGACGGGCAGGTGGGGCAGCTGTGTTCTCTATCCAGGCAGGCCCCTCAGGAGGGTCTTTCTCCATCCCCGTCCCATCCTGGTCACTCACTGGGGCTGCTGATCAGTGTCCTGGCATGGAAGGACTTATCCCTGGGACCCGAGCTAGGGCCTGGCACAGCGGCAGAGGGTTGAGAGCAGGTGCGGGATTTGCTGGAAGATTTGTGCCCACACTCGGCCTCCGGGCAGCAGGGTGGCCTTCTGCTGCCTCAAACTGCTTTTCCCTCATCAGCCATCTCTGGTGCACTGCCAGACCTTCCAGAGCCTTCCATGGCAGGTGGGGGCTCCGTGGCCTTCCAGGCAGGAGGCAGACAGAGCCCACCTTGACACTTGTCCCCTAGGGGATCAGTCGGCCCCTCTCTCTGGCCTCTGGCAGGGCTCAAGGGGCCGAGCTCCCCTGAGTCACTTGCTGTTCTAGATGTGGGGACAGGGTGTCCTTGGGAAGTGCATTTCCCTGCCTGTAGGAAGGGGCCTCCTGGGGGGGGGGGGCGCTCCTTATCTGCCCAACTTGATACCTGCAGCTTAATCCCAGCTGTCACCAAAGCTTGGGGCGCTCAGTATCTGTCCTCCATGGCGGCCTTTCGGGGCCCCGGAGTCCATGGCAGGTAGCCCCTGGGAGAAGCACTTGCTGTTTTTACCTTCTCCCTTGATCCTGTCGGTGAGGTGGGCCAGGTCCCTCAGGCCCCGGCGCCTGGGCGCAGCTCAGCCTCTGGGTGGGGCGGAGAGGTGTGGGGTCCTCTGGCCCCAGCTGCCCGGGGCTCAGAGGAAATCGCAGCCTCCACCTCAGCCTCCCGTTCTCATCGGCTCCAGACACAGGATGGGAAGGACCTGGCTTTGGCCTCCCTTGAAAGGAGTCCGGCCTGTTTGGGAGCCGGAGCTCTGACATCAATCTCGGACAACGACAGGGGTCTTGGCATTGAATTAGGTTTACTGGAGGCTTGGCTGTCCAGGTTTCATTCGCTGGAGTGTCTGGGAGTGACTCTTAGGAAGCCTTTCCAGTTCCGAGGTTCACCGAGATAACTCAGACTCCCCAAAATCTAGCAAGGAAAAGGGAGAAACTGCTTGGGGCTGGGAACGGTCCCCCGTTTCCTCCTCAAAAGCTGTGGTGGCCAGAAGGATACAAGGACTTTCACCAGGAGAGAATCAGGGTGCAGAGAACACCCCAAGGAGGGGAGAGGGAGGCTCGAGGTGGAATCCTCTGGAAGGGACCCCTGGCACCAAGTTCTCTGTCTGCGTTCTGGCTGGACTTGACGTCCGTCAGGCAAGTTTCAACCACAATGCCTGAGAAGCAAAAGCCCCTGGTAGACGCGGGCGCTGTGGCCCTGGCTGCCTGTCCCACCGACTGGGCCCAGTCTTAATGGTTAAAATGCCACCCACCCCCAGGCCTGCCTAACACTGAGAATCTCACCACCAAGCTGGGGGGCAGGGGGTGATTCTAGTTAGTTCAAGGCCTTCAGGGTGGAGACAAGCAGGCCGGCCGAGGGGAGGAGGACCCCCTGCCCTGTTCAGCCAGAGGCACAGAAAGGGGAGGAGCCTGCCCTGCGCCAGGCTGCGGGCCTCGGGCAGCAGGTGCAGAGCACCCCAGCACCTGGGGGCTTCCCAGCCCGCCGGCAGCTCAGCTCTCCGCCTGGGCTCCCCCCTTCAGCCTTCTCTGCTCTTTCCCAGTTGGGTGCCCAGGCCAGGCCTGCTGTTGTAGGGCGGAGGCACCCCGAAGCAGCTCCCGGGTCTGCGTCCTCAGGAAGGCAGGCAGAGAGGAGGGCCAGCCGGGTGGCTTCGGGCTGGAAGGCGAGGTTTCCCTGGCTGTTCGCCTGAGGTCTGGCAGACGTGGCAGCCGGAGCGACGGGCAGCAGGCGGCCAGTGGGCAGCCTCCCTGCGGCCACTGCCCCGGGGCATGAAGGCGAGGGCTTGGGGCAGGCGCGGGGAGGCCGGTCCCTCCTCCCCAGTGGCACTTGGAGGACCGGCTTTGTGACTCTCCGGAAGTGCCTTCGACTACACCCGATTCCCGGCTCTCGGCCCCCCTCCCGCTCTGGGAAGCCCGTGGCCAGGTCAGCTCACGGCACTGCGAAGGTGGGGACACGCCACGCTGGCCCAGCTCCAGGCCCCTTCTGCCCTCGCTGCCCTCGTAGCCAAGAGGAACTTCCCCACGGAAACTACCACGTGTCCTGCTTACACTAGCCTGCCTCTGGGCTGGGTCCCGGGGAGACCACCGTGAGGGCCCTCCGGGGCTTCGGGGCGCACGATGGCCCTGAATGTCGGGTGCAGAGGCCCACAGGCCTAGCGGGGGAGGATGGCTGGCAAACTGGCCCCCAGGATAACGGCCCATGACCATGAAAGAGAAGATCGAGAAGCCCACACAAATCCTCCTTCTCCAAGTCGCCCACTTCACGCTGTGAAGGATGCCGGAGAGAGGGAGGGGTCCCCGTGAACACAGTACCTACCCTTGCCCGCCCCGCCCGCCCCCTTCACTAGTACATAGAGCTAGGCCTTTATACTACTGATTTGAAGGACAGATTTCAGTGTCCGGCAGTCTGGGTGCAGTGGTTGGAGAGAGAACTGAGCTAGAAGGAACACAACCTCAACCCACGCTGACTGTTCTCATTGTAAGATATTTTAACCCTGTATAAACGCAACTTCTCCTTTAGCTTAATGGCCTGGGGTGGATATTAAAAATATATATTAAAAATACATTAAAAATTCAGAAAAAAAATGTATATAAAAAAAATGAGGTCGGTTCCATAAAGTTTTACTGCCTATACCACCATGTAACTACATTACAGCAAAATATTAATAGAAACGTTCTTGCCTTTAAAGTAAGTTATTGCACTTACATCTTTTGGGGGAGGGGAGGACTATGGAGGAGAAGGGGCCGTGGGGGCTGAGGCACGGGCGGATGGAGAGTGCAAGCAGCCCCCTTGGCTGGGCACAGCCCAAACTGTCTGTTTGGTGGTTGTTTGCAATAAACTCCTTCTCCTTCCTCCTCTCAACTGGAACCTGTCTGTTTTGTTCCTGACTTGTGACAGATGAAATGTGATCAGAGGGGCCTCTGAAATCTCACGTTAATTGAAGTCGGCAAAAAATACTAACAGTGCCCTTTTGAACTGCTGACACAGTACAGGGTGGATTACCAGGGCCAGATTAACAACAGGTGGCTGCCAGGGCCCCCGCACGAAGAGGGGTGCGTGGCCTGCGACAGGCCCCCCCCATCCCAGAGGATCGCCTGCACAGCTGGGGTGGGGAGAAGCCGGCCCACCACAGTCCGCTTCTCAGGCAGCAAAGGGGTCGCAGCCGCAGCTCCCGGGCACCCCTGCACCTGGCCTGCGGCAGGGCGGTCCCTCCACGAGCGCCGGTCTGTGTCTCCAGGGGCGGTTCTGGAGGCAGGCGAGGGCCAGGGCATGAGGTCCGGGGCAGGGAGGCCTGGCTCTTGGCACGGAGACCCCCGGACCCGGCTCTCCGACAGCAGCTGAGGAGCTTGCAGGAGGTCCAGCCGGATGATTTTTAAAGCAAAGCTCTGAAAACAGATGATGACGCAGGGAGCGCCCAGGCTCCGCTGCAGAAGCGTGCTCTCGCTTTCCACCATGAAGGTGACCCGAGGAGGGGCGGTCAGCCCGCAGGGAGCCCTGTGCGGACAGGAGTCCTGGTCCTTCAGCAGACCACCTGCGGCTCAGCTCTCACACCTGAAGGAGGGACAGGAGCCCCGTTCCTGCCTAGGTGGCCACCAAGAGGGGAGGATTAAACGAGATCGTACACGGGTATCCGCAGAGATTCTCGACGTGGCTGGGGAGGGCGGGTGGTGCAGTGGGATGGTCTGTCTCCCTACACACACCCAGCCGCTAAGGAACAACAGGCCCCCCACACACAGCCCGTTTCCCAAAATAGGGCTCACTGCACACTGTCTGCGTGCTTGGGGTGTCTACGTGCCAGCTCCAGGGACAAGGGGTGTGAGAGTTGACATTTTCCCAGGAATTCTGATTCCGAACAGATTTTTTTTAGCTCCACACAGACCAATAGGCTTGAGGAAGGGCAAACCTCCGGAAGGAGCTTCAGTTTATGAGCATGTGCGAACCACGTGTTAAGGTGTTGCTGTGGGGCCTGCAGGCTGTCTCCCTGGGCCCTGGCTGCAGTGGTCTTGCCACGCCTCCTGGGGTTCCTCTTTTGGTTGCCCCACAAGCTCCCTCCCCAGCCCTTCTCTGTCCTCTGCTCACACCGTCAGAGGAGCTCACTGTCGCTATGACATACAGGCCAAGCCACATGACGGAGAATAGAAATAAACAAGTGTCTGTGTGTTGGGGGACCAGGGGAGGGGACAGAGCTTGAGGAAGGATGAAACACAAAGGCAGCCCCTCTTTCCAGGATGGGTTTAGATGGGGAGGTGTGTTCAGAGGAGAGCACAGAAAGGGACCGGCCAGGAGGCGTGTGTTGAAGTGACAGATGGAAAACCTGAGTCTAAGAACGGACTTTGCAGCTTATTGGCTGGGTTATGTTAGCCAAGCCACTAAACCTCTCTGATTTTCGATTTCTTCGTCAGTGAAGTGGGGACACCAGCTCTTTCCTGCTGATCTCACGAGGTGGTCATGAAGTCCAGAGACTTTAAACTATTTGCAACTAGGGAGGAGCTGTAGAGACGGGAGGGATCACGTACCCTGGGGCTTGGGAGGGGCCATGGGGTTGAGGGCAGGATGCCGGAGGCTGGGGTTCTGCTTCACGCAGTGCACCATCGCACTTGCTGTGAGCTCTGGGAACCCCGGTATCATATCCGTGGCATCGGCAAGAACCCTGTGGGGAGCAGCCCACAAGTCCGCTCAGGCTGCCGGGACAAACTGCCGCACAGTCCTGGAGACCGGAAGTCTGCGAGCAAGGTGCTGGCAGATCCGTCTCTGGAGGGGCCTCTCCAGCCCCAGACGGAGGCCTCCTCGCCGCGCCCTCCTGTGGCCTTTCCTGTGCCCATTCCGAGAGCTCTGGCGTCTTCCTTTGCTTAGGACACCAGTCCTGTCAAATGAAGACCCCACCCTATGTCCTCACTTAGCCTCTGTTACCTCCTACAGGCCCTGCTCGAGGTTCGGGCTTCAGTATATGAATTTTGGGAGGGTGCACGACTCGGTCTGCAACAAGCAGCGTGGCTGGGACGTGTAAGGGAAGGACACCGAAATGGACAAGGGCTGCCCTTCCCGTCCCCGCATCCCAAAGGGTCTCCGTGGGCCCAGCACGGTTCCCGAATGGGCCCAGCAGCCACTCGGGTTGGCTCGGCACCATGTCACTTTCTACCCTAGTCCCGCCCTGCTCCACTCCATCAGTACTGATGCCAACGCCACGGTGCCAAGACCAGCCCGATCACACCCCGAATCCGAATCCTCGTCGGAGAAGCCTTCTCACTGCCTACCGGGCAGGGCAGCTCTTCTGTGCAGCCCTAAGCCCCATCCAGCCTCGCCTTCTCTGCCTCCCCACCTGGACGCAGCGCTCCTGCAGCGCAGGGCATCCGCGAGGCTTTCCCTCCGCTTCCTCTCTCCTCTCTCAGCCCCGTGCCTGCCCGCCCGCCACCCACTCCGCTGCCTCCCCTGTTAACTCCCCAGCGCCCACCTCAAGGGCCACCTCCTTCACCCAGCCGGGAAGGGGCGCGACTCTCCCTTAGTCGGGCGCTGTCTTATCCAGTGAGTAGATAGGACTACACTGACTTCTCTCTCGTACTTAGTAATGTGATTATAAGCTCCTTGAAGTTGGAAATGGTGTCGTCTTCACCTTTTGTCTGTCCCCCCGGCACAGTATCATAGCACTTAGTGTCAGCTCGATGGCTGGCCAGTCTGCAATCCTCCTCAAGGACACAGCCGAAAACACTAACTCCGGGCAAGACGGAGTGAGAGGCAGCCTTGATCCTGAGGCCCTACGCGGTCATCCAGGTTAAGGAGGGGGATACTGGTCCATGACAACACCAAGAAATAGGGTAGGTTTTAACCACCATTTAAAAGTAAATCATCTGTATTGAGGTATAATTTACATCATATAAAATACACCAATTTTGGATGAGTTTGGACAAACGTACATACACGTGTAACCATCACCTCAATCAAAATGCAGGACATTCCCCTCACCCCAAGAAAGTCCCTGTGCCTCATCCCAGTCAATCCCCAGCCCCAGGCAACTGTTAGCCTACTTTCTGTCGCTCAGATGTAAAACTTCATCCAAGTGGAATTTATTTATTTTTGTAAGAGTACACGTGGAGGCATGTACAGTACGTACTTTTTTGCTCACCTGTTTTGGAAATTCATCCATGTTGTGCGTCTCAGTAGCTCGTTATTTTTATTGCTCAGTTATATTCCACTGAATGGATGTACCGCTATGTGTCTCTCCATTCACCTGGTGTTGAAAGTTTGTTTCCAATTTGGGGCTATGATGAATAAAGCTGCTATGAATGGGTGTTGAACTTTGTCAAAGGCCTGTTCTAGATCTACTGAAATAATCATATGGTTATTCTCCTTTATTCTATTAATACTGTGAACTATATGGATTGATTTTCAAATGTTAGACCAACCTTGTGTTCTGTAGTCATGCTGTACCACCCTTTCCATATATTAATGGATTCAGTTTGCTAATATTTTGTGAAGGATTTTGTCTATGCTCAGCAGGGCTATTGGGCTGTAGTTTTCTTTGCTGTAATGTTTTTGTCTGCCTTTAGGACCAGGGTAATAATGGCCACTTAAAACAAGTCGGGACATATTTCGTCCCCTTCTATTTTCTGAAGAGTTTGTGTAAGATTGGTATTATTTTTTCCTTAATTGCTGGCTAGAACTTGCCAGTAAATCTGTGTGACTTGGGTGCTTCTTGGCGGGAAGTCTTGAACTGTGGACTGGATTGCTGTAACAGACACAGGGCTTTCCCGACGGTTTCTTCTTGAGGCAGTTTTGTCCATTTGTGTCTTTCAAGGATTGTGTCCATTTCTCCTACGCTGTAAAATGTATCAGCATAAGGTTGTTCATGTGTATTCCCTTTTTAATATTTGTCACCTGTACCAATGTCCCCTCTTTGATTCCCAATACTGATCATTTGTATCTTCTCATTTTTTCCTTGAAAAGTCTAGAGCATTTCTTGATCTTTTCAAAGAACCCGTTTTTGTTTGATTTTTCTCCATTGTTTGTCCAGTTTCTGTTTTGTTTCCACTCTTCTTTTTATTCTTTCTGTTGTCTACCCATTTTGGATTTAATTTGCTCAAGTTTAAGGTAGAGGCTTAAATCACTGATTTTAGATCTTTCTTTATTTCTAATACAAGCACTTCAAACTACACATCTCCCAGTACTCCATCCCACACACTTAATATTGTTTTCATTTCAGTCCAAAATATTTTCTCCTTTCCTGTGTATCTTTATTAAACCCTACATTATTTAGAAATATGTTATTTAATTGCCAAGTATTGGACATTTTTCCAAATATCTGTTATTGATTTCTGATGATTTAATTCCATTGTGATCAGAGAACATACTGATGTTTTCATTTTTTCTAAAACTATTGAGATATCATATAATGCAACTCATTTGTGGTGAATGTTGCATGCTCACTTGAGAAGCATGTGTACTCAGGTATTAGTGGACAAAGTGTTCTATGACTGTCATTGAGCCAAGGTGGTCTTCCAGGTCATTCAGGTTGTTCTAGCAGCTTG